GTGTGTGTGTGTGTGTGTGTGTGTGTGTGTGTGTGTGTGTTCCTAGTTGCATATAGGTCCAACACCTGCTGTAGTTTCATTATCTGATATGTATCACTGGTTGTTGCTCGGTGTGGTGAGGCCTCTAAATAAAGAATGTTAGGATGGTGTTCCAATTGTGTGGGTCACCAGGTGTGACTCCTGTGCTCTGTTTGGTAAGCTCTGTCAGCTCAAGGTAGGAACTGTGTCTGTGTGCACGTGTGTGCCCCTACCAGACTCAGATCTGCATGCTCCTCTGGCCTTCAGCTGGTCCCTCGACTTTCTGCCACACTTCTTGTAATGTACTTGAGGCTTTGGTTTCCAACTGTGCTGGATCTGAACTCAGCTCAGAATTTCAGCAAATCATTCATCATTTGAAGATTTACCCTTTTCTTTAAAATTCTGAATATATTTTTAATTACAATATGTCACTCTTCTCTTCCCTTCCCCTCCCTTTGGCCCCTCCCTTGTCCCCTCCCTCTGGCCCATCTCGTGTCCCCTCCCTCTGGTCCTTCTCGTATCCCTTACAAGAGAGGTATAGGAGATAGGATTCCATGTGCCCAGGAATCAAGGCCAACCACCGACCAGTGAGACCTTGTGTGAACTACTGCTTTTGTGAACACACACTGGCTAATTTCAGGTTAAGGGAGATAATAGTACCTGTGGGTTTGGACCAAACTAAGAACGCAGACGTAGCTGATGAGGTTTCTCCCCCTCCTGTTGGATCGCTGTGCTCTACAGCTGTCGGGTTGACCTTTCCTCCGTGTCTCCCCAGGACTTCGTGTCCACGGTCATCCGTCTACTTGACAGTCCATCCACTGCCATCAGAGCCAAAGCCTTCCTGGTGCTGCTTCACGTCCTGATTCACAACCGGGACATGCTGCTGCTGAGCTGCCAAGCGAGGTACACCGCCTCTCAGAGGGCCTGTCGGGCCGTTGACCGGTGGTTTGTGTGTCCTGTAGACTACTTACTATTGGCTGTTATGTATCTGACATTGAAAACCTTTCCTGAAGTTTACCAAGAGTTTAATCTATCTCTGGTATCCTCAGCTTCTAAGCCCAGAGAGGACCCTGGGCACAAGGCAGTGAGGTCTCAATCTGGGGGGCTTTGTGCCTTGCGGGGATGGGGGTTTGCCTGGAAGCCTCTAGGCTGAGAAGCTCAAGGCCCCAGTGTGGGGGTGGTTCAAGAGCAGTCCTGGGCTAGTGTCTGTCTGTCACTTTGAGACTTTTTATTTTGTTTGTTCTTTCTAGAAAGGGATGGTTGTGTAGCCCAGGCTAGCCATGAGCTCTTTCTTGGTCCTCCTGCCTTAGCCTCCCCAGTACTGGGGTTGCAGGTATGAACCACCACCCTGGCTTTCTCTCCGTTTCACACTTCCTGTCAAAGGAAGAGCTATCCCGGGTGTCCCAGAGTTCTGTTTGTGCTTGGCTCCTTCTCACCAACGTTGCTTCAGTTCCTCAGCCCTGCTCCACTGGGGTCCAGAGAGTCCTGAAAATCTAGTTGATATATTTTCATTTGGAGCCTGGAGCTCACTGTGTAGCCCAGGCTGCCCTAGAGCTCACTGTGTAGCCTAGGCTGCCCTAGAGCTCACTGTGTAGTCCAGGCTGACCCTGAAGTTGTGATCTTCATGCCTCAGTCTCCCCAAGAGGTGGGATTACAGACCTCCTGGAAACCCCGGGGCATGTTCAGTTAGGCCGGGGCCCTCCACACCCTCCTGTGAGAGGTTGTTCTGCTCAGAGCAGCTGCGGTGACGTCAGGATGGTGGTGGCAGTTTCATGTGGAGGACCCTGCTCTGTAAACCCTCCCAGGACAGCGCTGGGGCTGGGAGTCCCAGCTGTGGTGCCTAAGCTTCCAGCTGTGTACAGAGTGTGGCCTGGAGGAGTAGTCGCTACACACTGTGGCGCAATGCAGTGAGCCGGGTGGCCTGGGCAGGTGTGCAGATTGTGCAGTTGATGGCCTGAGTGTGGCACCAGTCCCTGAGGCCATGCAGCTCTGAAGTGTGGCTCCTCCTGTGTTTATGCTGTGTGATCCAGAGCAGGACTTACGTGGCCGCTGGGCCAGCCTCTGAGGGATGGCACCTCCCCTTGTCTTTAAGGAGAGAAGGTTCTCCCTCACCTGTGTGTGTTTCATTTGGTCAGTCACTGAGCTGTGGGGACATCAGCAGGCTGAGAGCATCCCTGTGCATGTAGGAAGCCTTGAAGGAGAAAGAGCAGGATGGCCGTGCGGCTCACAGCAAAGCAGCTAATGGAGGAGACAATTCCAGCTGTCACTGTGGCTCCCTGAGAGGTTTTATGAACATCAGCAGAACTGAAGAGATGGCTTCTGCAGGGCCGGCCCTGGTGCTTCGGAAGGCTGTGTAAACCATTGAACCAATGGCAAAGACTCCGGAATGCAGGTCACAGCCACCAGAAGACACAGAGCAGGTCCTGGAGACCTCACACACAAAGCCCCAGGGATTCTGGGGGGCCTGGGACAGATGATTTTTAACTCAGGAAGTTGGAGCAGGCTTCTTCCAGATGCAAGCATTCTCTGTTGGTGCTTGCTTGACCTAGGACAGTGTTAGAAAGACCAGTGACAAGGAGACTGAGGCAGAGTGGGAGATGGTGGCCAGGTGGACTTGTTACCTCACGGCTGTGCTTTGAATTCTGGGAAGCTGACCAAACTCGCTCACCCAGCAGGAAGGAAGCAGCTGAGGGGCTTCAATGTCTACAAGGGAAGAGACAGACTTGAGACAGAATTCTGGGAAGGCTGGAATTGGGGGTGCCAGGCAATCCAGCCGCTGTCCCCTATAGAGAGCCCCCGGAGGCTCCTTGTCTCTGGAACTGAGGTGGACAGTTTCAGAGGAATAGCGCCCACGGTGGATCTTTGGCTTCCGTGGGCACGGGCACACATGCATGCAAACACACAGGTACAAACAGACACAGGCATACACACACGTGCACACACACAGGACAGAGGTCTCGACCTCTGAGTGCTGCGGGAGGGGCCTCCCCCCGGAGCCACTTCCACCCCTTGTCACCGGAGGGTGGTGTCACCGGAGGGTGGTGTCACTGGAGGGTGGTGGTGTCACCGGAGGGTGGTGTCACCCGAGGTTGTCATGGACACGCCTCTTCCCTGGCCGCTGCCTTCCTCTCTCATGGCCTCAGGTCTGTCTTGGTGGCTGATATTCCTCTCTACACAGTGTGTCCTTTCTCTCTTTGGTTTAAAGATACTTTCTTCCCATTCAAGTTCAGAATTTTATATAAAATCTTTGGGGAATATTTCTTTTTTTTTTTAAAGATTTATTTATTTATTATGTATACAGCATATGTGACTGCAGGCCAGAAGAGGGCACCAGGTCTCATTATAGATGGTTGTGAGCCACCATGTGGTTGCTGGGAACTGAACTCATGACCTCTGGAAGAGCAGTCAGTGCTCTTAACCTTTGAGCCATCTCTCCAGCCCGGGGAATATTTCTTGAATCTGTGGATTTATATCTTTTGAGTCAATTTGATTTTCAGCCATGATTTTTTAAAATACGTTTCCATCCCTCTTGCCCCGGACTCCCTTGGAGACCCGTGACGCCTGTGTAAGGTCTTAGTTAATTGTCCTGTTGTTCCCAGAGCCTCCATTTTTTTGTGCCCTCTGGGTTTTCGGCTTTATAATCTCAAATGATCTCGTCTCACATTCCCGGTACAACTTTCAATTTCTATGCTGTTGAATTGAGTTCAACTGGTGAAGTTTTTTGCATTTTTCATTTGGTTCATTTTTATGAACTTTTTAAAAATGTAAGACTTTAAATTCTTTCATTGGATTTAAGAGCATTTTCAGTGCTTTTTGGAAATTTTAATTTTTGACGACATCTTTTCTAGCGTTGGGGCCATGCATGCCCCTGACACACGTGGAGTTTGGAGGGCACTCTCTGGGAGTTCTTGCCCTCCTCCCACCTTGTGAGTCCCGGGGCTGGAACCCGGTCACAGCGTGGCGGCAGCCACCTTTACTTGCTGCTCCCATTACCAAAGCTTTTTTATGGTGTCTGTCGATTGCTCTTCCCAGCACGGGACTCGCTGCTGTTCGCCTGTCCAGCCGGTGTTGGGTAGTGTTGTGATTCCCAGGGCTTTACCTTGATGGGTGGTATTTGAAGGTGTTCAGGATGTTCTGCTTCTCTGGAGGTCCGAGTCTCTCTTCACGCTGCATTGGTAGGCCTGGGGTGTGGAGGAGGGGGTGCTGGTCTCTGGACCTCTGACACTTCTCTCCTGTGGGAATTAGGCCGTTGCCAGTCAGACACCGATCCTGCTGCTCCTGGGGACCCTGAGAGTGGCCCAGCTTTGCTGGGTGGGAAATGGAAGGTCAGCCCATGACTCTCGACTTCCTTCTGCCCAG